TCTTAAATCGGAACCGGAACTAGGGCAGAATCTCCTCTCTTTCTTTCTCCCTTTCTATCTCTCTAGAATTTCCTTCTCTCTAGAATTATGAATTTTCAAAACCCTAGGCCCCTATTTATAGAAATTTTGAAATTACTATGCACTATGCACTATTCATTAAAATAATATTATTTCATTATTATAATATTAAAGTTACTATGCACTATTCATTAAAATATTAGAATTAATTAAATTTTTAGAATTCTGAATTCCGCAGCCGTCGTAGCCGCCCCTCATGCGCAGCCATTCACTATGCATGCATAGTAGAATACTATTCATACTTACGTATACATGAATAGTAAAATACATATACGTAAATAGTAAAATACGTATATGTAAATAGTAAAATACGTATAAAAATATGGTAACTCTTCTATTAATTCCAATACATAAAAAAAATAAAATTTTGGAATGTTACACATTGCATTGCAAGTTTTTTAAGTTTTACAGATAAAATAAATGTAAATATAATCGAAATAATTTGTCATAACAATTTTTTCATGGCCTATGATATTTTTTTCACACTTAATTTGTAATAGTAGTTTGTCGATTTTGTGTCATTTTTACAACTTGATTAGTATTCACACTAACACTTTTTTCGTTTATTCTTAAGTCGTATTCATTCATAATTAGTACTGTAGCGTAATTACTTCGATGAATGTCTTATTCTTAACTTTATTTATTATTTATTAAGGAGCTGTTTGATTTTAGAAAATATTTTTTATTTTTATTACATTTTAAAATAACTTTCATTTTTCATTTTTGAAGCTTAGAAAGCATGTTTATTTTATTTAACTTTAAAAATATCTTTAATATACTCAGATCTTTGAGGACACTAAAGGGAGAACACATTTGAACTTTGGTGATTTGGTGCGTTACAAACAGAGGAAGCCCACAAAGTGACAAAGGAAGACGACAGTTTTTTTGGTGTTACTTACGAATGTGTCACTGCATTTTCGTTATTTTCATTTTCAAACTTAAATTGAAGAAAACGTTGAAAACAACTTTTTTGCGTTTTCAAAAATGGAGCTTCATTTTGAAAATGTTTTTTTAACAAAACATCTCCTAAATGTTAAGCAAATGTATTTTCATACCTATTTCCTATTTTCATTGAAACAGAAAATAGAATTTTGTTTTGTTTCGGCTTTTTTAGAATTTGTTTTGCAAAATGAACTTACTAGAAGACTCTTAAGGGCTTGTTTGGATTCATTGTTTTCTATTTTTATTTTCAAAGAAATAGAAAATAAGTGCTAAAATATATTTATTTTTAATTTTAGAAAGTATTTTCTTTAAAAATCAAAAAAATTCTAAAATTGAAATGATAAAAATGTCATTTTCACTATTTTCTACTCTTTTGAAAACGTGGTTACATATAATGATAATTATTAAAAAAATTTATGAACTTGCTTATAAACTTGCGGAACACACATAATTTAATAGATTTAAACTTTTGTATACATGTAATCAATCAATTTGTGTTGCATTTTTTTTTGTGTGTAGAAAAGTTTTGTTTAGTGCTTATATATGTAGCATATATCAATATTATAAGATTAATTAGGTATAATTATTTAATAGAATTTTAATTACACATGTTATTTATATTATTTAATATTTTTAATTAAATATTATTTATTAAATATAATTAATATTTAGTGTGATTAAGTTTTGGTTAATATATTTTAATATAAGAAATATCGTGTGTGTATATATGTGTATATATATATAAAATAAATATAAAGTATATTTTATTTTGATATATAATTATTACTTGTTAGATAATAAATTATTCATTTGATATAAAAAAATATAGGAGACATTTGCGTCCTTTGAGAGTAAAATTCACTTATTATGAAAAAAGAGTATTTAAATAAGATTAAACATAAGATAGAGTGAAAAAATATGAAATATTTACAAAATAATATTATTCTAATTCATGTATAAAGAGTAATTTTGATTATAAAATTTATATAAAAAAATACTTTATGAACTTTTATTGGAAATAGTCAAACCAAACATGTTTTATAAATATTAAAATTTAAAAATAAAAATTATTTTTCTGAAAATAAAAATAAAATATATTTTTTAAAACCAAACATACCTTTAGGATTTATAGTGTCAAGGTGCATTTTGAAAATTTATATTAAAAAAATTAATATCAACCTACCTAAATATATTAATATAATATTTATTTCATTTATCATATGAATTTTTTAATGATAATTAATAATAAAAATTATTTTTTAAATATTATAAAAATTTAAAGAAGAAATAAAAAAAAATATTGGAATCAAAAGTGAAAAAAAAATATAAAAACAGAAAATTATAAAGATGAAAATTATATTTAAATCAATTTTAAACAATCAATTTCTTCATTTGCAAAATTGTGGATATATTATAACCATGTGATTTATCACTACAATGTAAGAATCTGGATCCTAATTCCTCAATCCAATTAATCCACCCCCACAACAGACATTAAAAATCTGAAATAAAAAATAAAATAAAATAAAAAAGTATTTACCTTGTTGAAGGGCCAAACTAGAATGGCTCCATCGCCGATAGAGCCGTGTTTGTTAATTTGAGATGCGACGAGGAAACGGTTTCTCAAGCACAAGAAGCCGAAAGGTGGCGAGGCACAGGTTGGTATGTGAAGCAGTTTTTCTCCCGTTTCCAAGTCCCACATCGTGGCCCCAATTTTCATGCTCTTGTCGCTGCACGCCACCACTGCCTCTGCTTCTCCTCTCACCATCTCTTTCTCCCTCCTCTGCTGCATATTGTTATTGCACGCTACCTTCCTCAACACTAATCACTAATCACACACCCTTCTATTTATTTACTTTATTTATTTATTTTATGTCTCCAGTGGGAACAAAAACGACAAATGCAGTTGAAAAGTGATGATGACAAGTTTTGGTATTCTTCTGTAATTACTGTTGCTTTCCTCATCTACTGAGTTGGATTTGGATGTGCATGTTTCATGCTTAGTTGGTAAAAATATTTTACATAAAACCTTTACGAGTCGAGTCACAACTATTCCAATTTTACTATTGTTTTTAAATTGAAAAATGCAATTATTTATCGTGTGAAAGTTAATTAATTAAAATAATAGTGAAATAGTGATTTGAGATTATGTAATTTTTTTTTTTTCTAAGAAGAAAATGTACCTAATAAATCACTGTTGTGATATCAATTAAGGTGGAGAAGTAACGCGGTCAAACATTAAAAGGGAAAATAACACTGAAATGTATAATAATGACTAAAGTCAATTTAGTTATTTTTAAATAATTACTTTAAAAATTTATTATTATAAATATGTGAATTTATTCTAAAAATTCTTAAATTAAACATTATTATCTATTTAATAATTAGTCCATACTTTATATGAATTTATTATATTAATTAAATTTCATCACTTTTAATACTTCATAAGAAAATAATTTCAACATACAAACAAATTAAATATTTTTTTAATTGATAAGACATATTACATTAACAATAAAGATTATAACTAAGTCACCATATGTCTATTTTAAAATGACTATTATATTGACCTAACTGATATAATTTTTAACATTAAAAACATTCATGAATAATAGTATTTACATAAAATATAATATTTTACTTTCATTACTTCGAACTAAATTTTAATGATATAATTTTCATTAGTTTATACTAATGATATTTCCAACAGATAATCAGAAATTAATTTTTTAAAATCATATAATTATTGAGGTGAATTTTATCTTTGTTAATTAAAAAAATTCTCATTCACATAGTAAGATTTAGTTTCCTGCAACATAGTTAATAGATTCAACTATTTATCAGATATGTCTTGTTGGTGAAAATTAAAACGTTTTTTTTTTTATAATGAATTCTTATATATTAAATAAGAATCATTATTTTGAGCGAAAGTATGTTAAGAAGTTTTCTTTTAAAAAATATATATAAATTCTTTTAACTTTTTATCTAATTAAGTTTTTATTATTATGATTATTTATAAATTAAATATTAATATATTAAAATAAATTATTAATAAATAAAAATAATTTTGTGCTACAATATAAATTATTTATCATAAATTTAAAATATAATTTATATATTTAAAAAGATATATATTTATACAAATTTTAAATATAATTTGTATATTCAAATATAACATATATGAGTAAAAAAAATGCAATATATGAGTAAAAAAATAAATGTAATATAATAATTAATAGATTAAATAAATGCAATATAATAAATATTTAATAGGTTCAATAAATTATCTTGTCCTTGAAATTTTTGGAAGTTGTTGCTTAGATCTCTGCACTAAAAATTTTGAAATTAGGCTTTTCATCTTTAAATATATTTTTAAAATTTTAGTTTCAAGGATTAGAAATTCATTTATAATTTATGAATTATGTAAAAAAATTCTTGATACATATAGATGATGACATAAAATAAAAATCTAATATGATTGTTCATGTATGCGAATATACACAAATTAATAATCTAACATGATTGTCCATGTATGTGAATATTAAAAATATTTTATAAAATTCCATAGATTGTAAATAAATTTCTAAAGACTAAATTACACAAAAATATAAAAAGATAAAAAAAATTAAATTACTGTTTTTAATTTAAAAAATTAATTAAAATTTTCTAAAAAATTTAGAGAACAAATGATATATTAAACCTATTTAATACAATAGATTTTGAAATTAATAAGGACAGATTATAATTAAATATAGGTATTTTCTAAGATTTTTTTTCTGTTTAATAAGAAAGTTTAACTCTTTTTCATTGGTACATTATTTTATTTGTTGGAATTATATTTAATTTTTTAAATAATGTTTTTTATTTTAACAACAGTGTGATTTAAAGTTTCATTTTTAGTTTTTTATATTATTAATTAAATTTCTGTAAAAAATAATAATAATTAAATTTATTTAATCTATCTTCTAATTCTATTTGATGTTAAGTGTTATCAATACAATTATGTTTTGTTTAACTATTAGGATAAAATAAAATATATATTATGAGAGTAAGATAAAATAAGAGTAAAATATGATAAATTTTAATATTATAAAATATTTGATGCATACTAATTAAGATATCAATTAGTAAATTAAATAATATTATTATATTATATATTTTGTATTTGACATAGACCAGAAAGATAAATAATAAATTGTTTTTAAATAAAAAAAAAGGTTTAAATAGTTTTTAGTTTGGGTAAAGAGAGTGAATTCTGATTTTTGTTCGATCAAAGTTTTTCTTTATTTTTCATTCTTCTAAAAATTTTAAACATTATTTTTAGTCATTATAAAATATTTTTGGTCCTTGAAGATTAATAAATTTTAGTTTTGGTCCTTGAAAAATAATTTTCTATGATTTTCATGTCTCTAAAATTTAAATTCAACATTTTTTATTTCTAACAAAGACTTTAAGGCATGTAAATAATATTTATTTTAGTGACCTATAAATTATTTTAGAGGTGTCATATTCTAACATAGAATCACTAACAATTGTGGGAAATACATTAGATAGTCACTTAGCATTATGAACAAATAAGTGGTTAAAATGATTACACGGTAATTGAGACAAAAAACAATAATTAAAATTTTAGAGTGATAAAAAATAAAGAAAAAATTTACAGCGAGCAAAATTAAAGCTTATTCATTTTACATGAAGTAAAAACATATTTAAGTCGATAAAAATATTGTTTCTTTAAAATTACATATAATTTTATAAAAAAACAACTTTTTATATAATTTTTTCAAATTTATAAATTATAAAAAAAATATTTTTAATTATATTAGACAAAAATATTTTTTGACAGCCGTATTGATTGTCACAAGTAATAAAATGGATAGAAGTCAAAGTGTCAAATCTACATAAACTTGTGTAACAACTAGTTTATCTAATTCAACGTTAATTAATTTTTTTTATAAAATATTGTTTAAAAGTCCATAAAAAAGTAGATAACGTATTTTAAAGATTTTAAAATTATGCAACAAATGTAAGATACAAATTTAAATTAATTGATAAAAGTTGTCAAAGATTAATTTCATTAATCTTCCCATGTAAATCCTTTCAAATTCTCATTCAATTTCATAAATGAATCGGTTAATTCATTAACTCTCTATTTTACTTAAACCTTAATTTCTTAAGCAAAAAATTATGAGTTCCTTAAGGAAAATCTCAAATTGGCAAAGTTTGTTTAACAACTTACATTAAGGTTAACGACCTAAAAAATGATTAATAAGATTTATCTTATTCCTAATAATTATTATTATTAACATTTTTACCTAAATCATAACTCTAAAAGCATTTCCCAACCTCATAAAAATTGATAAAATCATGCGATGGATGATTAGACCATAACAAACATCAAGAGATATAGTTGCTCATGGCTAAAGCTTTTACACAAATGAATAAAAGATTTTTTAAGGATAAGTGATTACAAGATTGCTTCCACACATACTCTTTCTAATCTCTTTAAATAAAGACAAAAATATACTTTTCTGCGCTTATATTATTTATTAGTGTCAATTTAGTCTTACTTTAATTAATTGAATCAATTTAGTTTCACATCTTTAAAATGTATCTCAATGTTTAACATTCAGTTTCCTCCGTTTAAATACTTAACAGATGTGACATGTGTCATGTCACGTGTCATGCTATCATGCCACGTAACATGATACATGACATGACACGTGGCATTATGACATGACACGTGACATGATAGCTTGACATGTGGCATGGTAGCATGGTACATGTCATGTCATTATGCCACGTGTCATGACACATGTCATATCTGTTAAGTATTTAAATGAAAAAAATAGAAGGTCGAACATTGAGATACATTTTAAAGATGTGGAACTAAATTGATCCAATTAATTAAAGTGAGATTTAAATTAACACTAATAAATAATATAAGGGGTGAAAAATGTATTTTTACCTTAAATAAATCTAAATGTAAACGTGTTCTTCCCTCTTTTATAAGCCTTAATTTTATAGTATTTGACTGGGCCTTCGTCCATGTATGCTCGTTTAGAGTTTTAAGATTGACTCGCTTGAGCAAACTTTGATAATATGTCACTTTAACTTTATTGTGTTGATTCACTCAAAATGCCAAACTAATTTGCTCAAGTTAGCATGATTCTCTAAGAGTTATTGTTCATTTAGCTCGCTTAGAGCATTCACATAGTTCATTTAAGTGAACTTTTCATTTGATTCAATGTTGTATTTTGAAGTGGTTCGCTTTGAACATTCAAATACTTAGTCTAAGTGAGTTTGAAGTGGCTTGAAGTCTTTTTCTCGATGTGTAGCTTCATTTGCTATCTTCATGAGTAGTTCCTTTCTTCTTGTATGTCAACATTATATAAAAAAAAAACTAATAAAATTACTTAAGATTGAACAATTTCATTAATTAAATCAAATTAACTTAAAATATTACAATGTAATAAGAACAAGACTCTAAAATATAAAAACATATTCAACAATTGTCTAGATTGTATATGTACCGGAGGGATCCTATCGGTCACGTGGACCAACACGTGTCGTTTTGTTAGACACCCACGCAAACTGAACCACGCCCCCACGAACCTTGACGTTAACATCGGCTCGGCATACAGCCGAAGGAAGAGAAGAGTTCGCTAGTAACCTCGGCTCGGCTGAAGACCGATAAGAATAGCACCACGATGCGTCTCCATACGCTATGTATCGGCTCGGCCGAATGCCATAGAGCTTGGCTAACCGAACAAATGCCTGTCGGCCCGGCCAACGACCGAAGACACCCAGCAACCCAAGCATTTACCTGTCGGCTCGGT